CCCCAAGTTGTCCATCCAGAAATATTCTGGCCCTCCGACAAATATAATTGGTGACCCCTGCACTATGGAGTCATTCCATGTCTTAGATAAGTCACAGCTAAACAACACAAGGCTCTTCAAAAACGTAGAAAAAAGGAATTTAAAAAACAGAATTATTCATTTTTTTAAAAAACATTTTGCTTCAAAGTACGTTCAGTACTTTTTTGTTTTTATATTTTTTATGCATTTTACAGATGCTTTTACCCATGTTAGTGTCATTAGATCATCCCTCTGGGTGTCGAACCTCGGACTCTCTGAAGCAGCATAGAATTGAATGCCTTTTAAGCTTCTGTGGGCCACACAAAATGACTTAGTGTGCCACATCCGGCCAACAGGCTTTGAGTTTGACGCAATAGTTGTTCGTTTTTCTGTGTAGCCATGCAATGGACTGGCGAACTGTCCGAGGTGTTCCTGCCTTCGCCCGTTGACAGCTGGCTCCAGCTCCGCTTCGACCGTGAAAGGATTAAGCTGTAGAAAATGGATGGATGGATGGATTCAGCCACACATCATTTCAGTGCTTCACCAAGCATAGCTGCACATCATTTCAGTGCTTCACCAAGCATTATATCCGTTTTTTTCTTTTCTTTTTAATTTTTATTATAACCCTGTCTTTCATCCATGGCCACAGAAAGACCTGGCTTGTTGAGGTCAGTGTTGAAATGATGCTAGAAAGGACATATTCAGCAGCAGTGCGGGGTTCAGATGTCACGGCCACAAAGGTGTGGTGGTGCAAAGAGAGGCCCAGGGGTCAGATAGGCATGGAGGACAATAGCCAACAGCTTTGAATGGAGATCCGAGTAGGCAGAGTCAGGTGGGAAACTAACGATTCAGAGAATTGAACACAAATGTGGGAAAGAAGGTTGTTCGTACATCTCCGGGAGAGAAAGGCATTCCTCAGAGTGCAGCAGCTTCTCATGTGTCAGGCAGGGAGACCCCCGAAAGAGGTTCAGGAAAAAAAAAAAACAGCTTATTTTCAAAGTTTCACGAGCAGGACATATATTAACCCAGACAGTGGGTTAGTCACGGCTGTCAGTATAAAAGTCAAACTGCACGTTTACATGTCGTGCAGTAGATCTGCGGGTCACCAACTATATTTGTAGGCGGGTCTGGATTTTTTTTTTGGACAGACACCTTTAGAAACAGACACTTAAATTAAATGTAATAAAAATTTTGGATTCCAGTCGAGGCCCGGATTGGACGGTTCGGTGTGCTAAACTTGACCTGCGAGCCGCCAGTTTATCATCACTGCAGTACATACTTCATTTAACAGAAGTAAAACTGCAACA